GGTTAAAAATTGCAAAGCAAATAAAACTTGGACAGTCCTTTTGAGTCCAGCATGCAAGTGCACAAGACGTGTAAATGTCAAATCTGAAGGAGGCATACAGATTTCAGGGAATGTAAAACTCCATTCACTTCCGGTAAATAGGTTTCTGTCTACTGGCTTCTCGCTCAGTGCTCATTCTGCAATTGTGATTTGAATCTACCTAGAATATTAATAAATACATTGCAGAAGAAAAGTAATGAGGGAGGGCTAATCCCACTGCACAAGAGAACATATTCTCATTAAAGCCATGGTTTAAAATGTGCTTTCTTGACCAGAATGAAACAGAACCAAGCTGGATATGGTGGTGCATATCTGTAATCGGTAGGCTGAGGCATGAGGATTGCTGGTTCCAGACCAGGTCATGCTACAGAATGAGACTTTGACTGAAGAAACAAAACAACAAACAAACAGAAACAAAACACCCACTAAAATAATATAAAACAAAAGAAAATAAAACAGAATCGACAACAACAGCAAACAGGACCCTGCTCTCCATAAATATATATGAATGTCGTATATGACTGTTTATCACAAAGAAATACAGACACTATTAAAATGCTATTGTGGTAATGAGCTCTTGAGTCTTAATATACCTATATCCTAAAATGACATTCAGAGAGTCAGGTGTGGCGATACACACCGTTTGTCTCGACCCTTGGGAGACAGAGACAAGTGGAAGGCTATGCACTCAAGATCAGCTTGGTCTAAATTGTGAGTTCCAGGCTACATAGTAAGAGCCCCATGTCAAAAACTAAGATCCAACAAGAACAAAAAGATGAAGTTCTTGTTAACAAGATGAAGAGGCATCAGTAAAACAAACACAGAAAAGTCAAACTATAAATATGTGGAGCATGGCGTCCACACACAAATAGTAAACTAAAAGGTTTTTTTTGTTTTTTGTTTTTTGTTTTTTTTTTTTTGTTTGTTTAAATTGGGGGTGGAGCGATGGCTCAGCAGTTAAGAGCACTAGCAGCTCTTGGAGAGGATCTGGGTTCGGTTCCCAGAACCCACATGCTGCCTCCAACTATCTGTGACTACAGTTTCAGGAGATCCGATGCCCTCTTCTGGTTTCTGTGGGCCCTGAACATACACGGTGTATAATATATATGGAGGCAAAACATCCATCCACATAAAATAAGATAAAATAGCTTTAAATGTTGAGAGAAAATATTCAGGCAATGCGTTCATATCTGTTACGCACATTTCACATATAAAACTAATAGCAGCTAAAAAAAAATAATAATCTAGGCCCCAAATGAATCAATATAAAGAAAGAAAATTTCTTTATATCAATATAAAAAATTTCAATATAAAAGAAAATTTTAAGCTTGAACATGCTAAAAAATCAACTGAAATAAAAGTTAAGTGTCATTTTACACCAATAATAATTATGATATTATAACTGTCATCCATTTTGTTTGCCTGTTTTGAAAAATAGTCTCACTATGTAGCCCACGCTGGTCTCAACTTGGAGTCCTCCTGCCTCAGCCTCCTGACTGCTGGGATTACAGACATGTGCCCTCATGTCTGCTGTTCTAATTTGCTTCTCTGTTGCTGTGATGAAACACTGACCAAAAGTAACAAGAGGGAGGAAAGGGCTTATTTGGCTTACAGCTTACAGTCCATCACCAAGGGAAGCCAGGGCAGAGGCTCAAAGCAGGAACCTGGAAGCAGGAACTGGAGCAGAGCCATAAAGGAATGCTGCCTACTGGATTGCCTTTTAGTTGATTCCAGATCCAATCAACTTGACAACCAAGATCAGCCACCACACCTGGCTATCACCGTCATTCTCATTGACCATCTTACACTACTATATTCTGGCTAAGAGAGGCTAAATCAAAGCAACATGCAAAAATTATCATGCTAAGAAAAAAACATCCCAGATGTTTGGAACGTTTGATAAGAGGCAGGTATTTCTACAGTTGGCCCAGAGATTCTCCGGCCTGAGAATGTATCCCAAGTGAATTATTTAAAAGAAAAAAAAAAAAAGAAAAAGAAAAAGAAAAAAACAACCCACGAACACAAAGACAACACTTTATAGCAGATGGAAGACGATAAACATCTGAAATGTTTTGTAGTAGAGACAGTCACACGGAAGGACACATGAACCCACACAGCCATAAGTATGAAATCTAAGTACACGTGATTAGTTATGATAACTTCCTAACTTTAAAAGGAAGTTATATCTATACTATCAAATTAACTTAGAAAAAAGGCTAAATATTGGAAAGAATACAACCGTGATGGAGCTATGGTTAAAGGCTTTCTTAAAGCTTTGTTGCTTTTATGTGCATAGATGGGTACCACACGGGTGCCCGGTGCTGGAGGAGGCTGGAGGCTGGTGACTCCCTGGAACCAGAATTATAGACAGTTTAGAGCTGCCGTGGGGGTGGTAAGAAGCAAACTCATGTCCTCTGCAAAGACAGCAAGTGCTCCTAACTGCTGAGCCATCTCTCCAGCCTCACGTACATAAAGTAGTAAGAGGTTTTTCTAGTATTTTAATAAAAAATTAAAAGTGAAGAATTATACATTTAAAACGAAACTTCTAAAGATGGTTAATGCTTTGTGTGTATTTGTAAGTGTAGATGATTTACTCCCCTGTGTACATGTGTGCGTGTGTGTGTGTGTGTGTGTGTGTGTGTGTGTGTGTGTGTACAGATGGCAGAGAGAAATGTTGGGTGCTCTTGCTCTGCTGTTCCTTGCCTTGAGGAATGTGGAGGTAGGCTGGCAGCCGGCAGGACACATCAGGCCTCCAGTCTCTATCCCTCACATCTCTGGTGTTACAGGCATGCATTGTGACCACTACTGGCTTTTTATGTGGGTGCTGGGGATTTGAACTCAGCACCTCATGCTTGAGAGCAAACGCTCTTACCCCTGAGCCACCTCTTTAGCTCCAAGGTTGTCTATTCTTTGTTTGTTTGTTTGTTTGTTTGTTTAGCCTTCTACAGAGCCCTGGCTGTCCTGGAACTTACTATGTAGATAAGGCTAGCCTCAAACTTACAGAAAGCCTCCTGCCTCTGCCTCCAGAGTGCTGGGATTAAAGGTGTGCACCACCATGCCTGACTCAAGATGGTTGATTTTTTAAAATAATTCCATCCTTTAAAAAGGTGTTCCTGGAGATTTTATCTATGGGAGCCTTGCCAACAGAGAAGGTGGTAGTTACTGTATTTCAGCCAGAACTTTCCACTCTCTGGTGACACCCAGAATAATCTCATGTGACAATTCATAAAATGACTAACACCAGCCATGGACAGCGCAGAGAGGAAAGTGTGCCGTTCCAGAAGGGATCTATAAAATCTGGAGTGTACTGGGGCCTAAGGGAGAAAGGCAGAAGGTTCCAGAAACTGGCCTTGCACTCACTTTCCTGTTCCCTATAAACTGGCCTGCTCTGGAGTACTTTATCCAAAATAAAATGAAGCTAAAACATGTTTCAGAACTGCTTGTAGGATGGCAAAAACCCACGTGATGGAGTCAGCAGCTCTTTGGGCCTCAGTTTCCCTAACAGTAAGATGAGAGCAAAAAATCCTGCCTCTTAGTTTCCTGGGAGATTAAATATGAGTTGATTAGAGCCTGAAAAATGCTAGGGGGAATTTATTGAGATGACATTAAAAGGAGTAGGGTAAAATATTGCACGGCTTTGTTTACATGAGGCGCTTAGAGAAGGCACAAGTCATAGAAACAGGAAGTGAAATGGCGGCTGCAAGGGGCTGGAGGAGGGGCATGGGCAGTGGGAGTTTTGAAGGTGTGGAGACGCAACTGAGGAAAATGAAAAGGGTCTGTGGATAGATGGTGGTGACGGCTGTGGAATACAGCAAGACTGGACTTAGGGCCACTGAACCACATGCTGGAAATTACTAAAATGGTAAAGTGAATGCCTTGTATATAATGTTATAACACTGTATATGTCACCACGTAACAAGTTAATGAATACCAACAAAAGACAAGAGATAGACATAAACACAAAAAAAGTAAGGAAAGGGGACATTTTAGAGCAAGTTTTCCTTACCTTACGCACTGCTTTAAGAGACCAGTGCAATGATTCAAGAGAGCATATACGAGCCATAGAGACAGGGATGCGTGTCCACGAGGAGGGAAGGACACAGAGCTTGCTCTTCTAGAAGCACCCCTCTGAACACATTCATTCCTTTTTGGCCATCATGAAGCATTCTGGTCATAGGTTGCTTTTATACAATTGTCTCAGTAACTCCCCTGCGAACTGTTTTACAACGTCATCCATCCGTTCATTCCTAAGTACTCCTTAGTGCCCATTAGTGCCAGGCACCATTGTAAGTGTAAGCATGTAGCTTACAGTGTGTGCAGGCTATTGTGTGCACACGTAGACATTACCCCCAGGCAGAGACGCTGGTTCCTGCGGCCTCTACTCCAGGGATCTTGATGGCTGATACCTAGGCAACACTCACTGTGTGCCAGGTGCCATTCTGGGCACACTGTAAATACGGTTTAGTTCCTGTACTCTTCTCGAACATATTCAGGGCAACTATGATGGCCCTGTGTTGCATGGTAGTGGGTGGGGATCAGGCCCGGTGAGGCCATGGAGCCTGTGCACGCCTAGCAGAGCCAGGAGGAACAGCTGTGGCTCTCACTGGGATGTCAGTGAACTCAGGAGAAGAACAGACTGAGGCAGGAACAGGGAGGCTGCAGCCTCTGTCCAGGAGGGCAGGGCTGGGTTATGGACTTTGTGGTGACAGCAGATTAGAAAGAGGGAGCTCTGGTGTCTTGAAAAGAGGAACCAATCTATTTGGGTGGCTTCCTGGGTGTGAGGGGAAAGGCAATGTCAAGAGTTCAGGCCTGGGGCACCTTCCAGACCCACTGTCACTAACAGGGACAGGGCGGGCGGCAGGAAGGAGATGGACTTGGGCACATGCTGTCTCTGCTTCCCTCTCTCATGCACAAACACTGGCTGGAAATGCAGTGTTCACACACAGACCCCAGCAGCCTACCTTTGTCCTGCTCTGCAGCCTCACTCAGTTCAGGAAGCTTGAACCCCACCAGGTTCTGGTTTCTCATCAGGATGTGTTCCTTGGTGAGAGGAAGAAGGGGTACAGTTCAGCTGATAACACCAGGCTAGACTCTTCTCTTTGTTCCCTAGTGGCTCTGCTACCACTCAGCTTCAGATAGGTTCCCCAGGACACTGGCCAGGGTGGATGACTTGGCACAGGATTGTATGGTGTGGTCAGAGGGGAATGGGGTCCTCTCCCAGCCTATAAAAGGGCCTGAAATCCCACCATTTGTGCCACGCTGGTGGGGTCAAGACATGACCTGCTTGCTAAAGAAGTGTTGGGTCTCAGGGGAAATGAATTGCCTGGCCTTACTGTGGGAGAAGTGTCTAGGGACTGCACAGTCTTTAGGGACTGAGAACTTTGGGGACAGTAAGGTCCCCTGGATATGCATGCAGCTGCTTCCAGAAACAATTCTTGATGGTCTCACTGCTGGCAGCAGCTTCCTACCCTGCCCTTCTGTGTAAGTGACAGCCCTTCCCCCAGTGGCTTTTGTGGCATCACTGGACAAATGAAGCCAGAGTCGCTTCTTGGGGGACAGAGCAGGCAGAGCTAGGTTGAGGGTGTTGGTGGACTCAGCAGGCTGTCCTTGTTCCAAGCCAGTCTGTGTCAGACTAGGGCCCTCTAGTGGGGTGCCTGGGTTCTCTCCTGGCCCCTGGTGCCATCCAAGGGTTTTTAGCCTCCCAGGCGACAGAAGCCACTTGAGTGACTGACTGGCCTCTGGGCAAAAGGAAAGAGCCAACAGAGAGTGCTCAGGATCCAAACAGAACCCAGGCCATGCCCTTGCCATATACTTAGCAAGCCAGAGGTCCACAGCCCCTCAGCTGTCAGCACACTGGACCAAGTGCAAAGCAGGTTTCATGTGCCAGGGAAGCTGGTGGCGTGAGACGCAGGCTTTCTGCAACTTCCTTTGCTGGGTGAGAGCGACCTGCAGGGGTGTGGGGAGTTCTGAGCCAGTGGCTTACTCCCCCAGACTTTGAAGTCCATGGAGGTGAATTTCCCAGTTGTCTGCCCCCTTCATCTCCACTTGTGGGTTGTAGCCCACTGTAGAAGGCTCTGCCTGGCCTTATGCTAAGCTACCAGGTACCCTGGGCTCTGGATTGGAGGATGGGAGCTTTATGTGAATTGTTCATCTTCCTAAGACTCCAACTCATAACATCATAGAAGATCCAGATTTTCTATCTATCTATCTATCTATCTATCTATCTATCTATCTATCTATCTATCATGTATCTATATCTATCTGTGTATCATCTATCTCTGTCTATCTCTGAATGGCTACAAACTTACTATATAGCTGAACTTGACATCCTCCTGCCTCTCCCTCTTGGGAACTGGGGTTATGGGCCTGAGCTACCAACACACATGGTTTTGTGTGACTCTACCACCTGGGCCTCTTCCTCACCAGAGTTCTCTCAACAGCATGGTGGCCTGTTACACTGTGTCCTTGCTAGCACAGATGCTCTCATTTGAGCTGGAGGCTTCAGGCCCACTTCTTCCTCACCCTGACCCCCTCAGCAGAAGAGCCAGGGGACTAATGTCCTACTCCAGGCTAATCTACAGGCTCCCAATCTCCTTGACCTGGATTGAGGTTGGCCACCAGAGAGAGAAGGGACTGGATCAGGACCTTTGTATCCACTCTGGTCTCCCCTTTGCCCCTCCATATCTGCACATTCTCAATCACTCATTGTATAGCAGGGCAGCCCCCTGACTGACCACCATTCCTAGTTTGATGGACAATGAACTTGGGGACATTATGGACACTGGAAGAAATTCACTAAGGAGCAGCCCCTTATGGACATTGTCATAGTGGTACTTGGGTCTAAGGCCCTTGGTTAACAGGTACCGAAAAGGCAGGATGGATATTACAAAAGAAAAGCCTTCTTATCCTGGTCTTTCCCAATTCTAGGCATGATCAGATGCTCCATCAGAGATTCCGCTCACCAATTCTAGCCGGAGGAGCAAGACAGCTCAGGATCAGGGGTCCATGTGGCCAACTCCCCCAGAAGTGTGGCTAAGCATGACCACTGCATCTCAGGCTGGCTTGTGTTTATTAACAGAAACTAAAGGCACCTGAAGCTGGTACTATGGAAGTGACACCGATGAGACTGGCTTCAGGAGCAAGAAGTTTAGGGTTCCATGAAATCATAGCTGCCCTGTCCCAGAGCCCAGCCTGAGTGCAAAAATCTATGGTTCAAGGGGACCCTGGCATGTGCACCCTCTGCAGCGGGGCGCAGCGGGAACCCACCTCCCGGAGCTTCGTCAGCTTCTGCATGCGCACAGGCTGTACTTGTATCTGCAAGTCTTTAAGCCCAGGTGGCTTGGCTGGCTTGGCTTTGCCTGGAAACCGCTTCTCTTCTTCTGCCAGAGGCAGCTTGGCAAGCACCTTCTGCAGCAGGGGACCAGGCTCTTCAGGGCTACTGTCCCAGGAGACCCCCCGAATCAGGGGGGACCGGGACACAGGGGACCGCAGCTCAGCTTTGGAGCCGGCCTTGGGTCCCACAGGCTCTCCAGCAGAGCCTTGCCCCTGGGAATGTGGGGAGACCGTTCCTCCTGAGCCCTGGGCTGCAGTTCTGGGCAAAGGGTTGCCTTCCCTGGCCGTTTTCAGGAGCTGCCTCCCCAGCTCCGGCTCGGCAGGGCCAGGCTGGGGGCTGTTGAGCGCCATTTTCCCGCTGATGCTTGCCCCAGAAGCCTGAGCCATGGGCGTGGCCTCCGGGTGCTGAAGGGGATCAAAGTTTTCCTTTTGTTCTACTCTAAGTTCTTTGGATTTCTCCCCTGTGGGAGAGCGAGGAACCAGTCTGCCTTGAGACACTTTCCTCTGGTCATTCTGCTTCCGGTCAGCTAGCCCTTTGGAGACATTCTGAAAGACAAGGCAGAGTTGGGACCCTGTAGGTAGGCTGAGGAGACTCAGACCTTGACAAGGGGCCCATTTACGTATATACAAATGAGGCACGAACAATTTATGTACATTCAAATAGGTACGATCTAGTCATGTATATGCAAATGAAGTTTCTTGAAACTTCTCTGGAGCTGAGAGCAGCTGTGGTGTAAGACTGTGGCTGGATTTGGGGGTGCAGGATCACCCTGTTGGGGTCTGCCTTAACCTCTTTTCCTCTCAGACTTCCACCTCATAAGACAGAGGGGTCTTCTGCTTGCCCCAGCACCCACCCTTCACTCACATCTAGGCTGCCCAGGGGCCAGCTTCCACTTCTGGGAACACATTCCCTACATCCAAATCAAAGTGCGCAAAGCACAAACTCACAGGCTCTCCATGGCAAGGTGAGATGTCCGCCTCATGCCCCTTTTCCTGAGGAAAAAAATCCACAGGTCAGTAGCATCAGAAAGAGGTCCGCTTCCTCCTGAAGCTTAGCAGGGTGTAAATGCTCCCCTCCACCTCCCTCACCCAGGGGTTACAGAGGGTCCAGGCGTGCTAGGGACAAGAGACCTACTGGCTTGGAAATGTCACGCAGGTGTGGTGTTACCTGTGGCAGCGCTCCCGGCAAAGGGGACTGTGGGCCACTGCATGTGCCGAACCCTGCAATGGGCCAGTGCAGGTGAGTGATACCCATCACCTAGTCCTGCACTTGTCACTTTAACAACAACATCAACACACACACACACACACACACACACACACACACACACACACACACACGCTCTAAGGTCTGGCAGCCCAAACCATCCTTTGTTGCTCACATGCCAGCACTGAATCACCATAGAAACCAAATAAGGAAACTGAGTCTGGGTGGGGGTGGGGAACTTTGAGGTAGCCTTCCTGATAGTCGGGAAGCATCTGTGAAGGTCGGATCCTAGGCTCGCACTCCAGCGCTGACAAGGGCAGGCTGCCCACTGTCCCACTGGGGTACTCCTCCGTTGCCTTAGGGTGTGGTTCTGGACACCGCCCAGAAAGGAAGAGACCAAAACGTAGATTGGGCTTGGAGATGTAGCTCAGAGGGAGAGTGCTTACCTAGTGTGTGTGAGGACCAAGGTTCAACCCCTAGCACCAGAAGAACACACACACACACAAATAAAAAACTCATAGCAGTACAAACAAGAGGATTCAAAATAAGCTGTGATGACCTCTCTGAGCAAAGAGCAGCCACATGGCCCCCTTCCCATGACCTGAGCCCTTTCCTCACTCGGCATGTCTCTTGCTGCCTGTCTTACTAGTCCCTATCCTCAGAGCCTGTAATTCTGCCCCCCCACTCTGTGTGTGGGGGGGGTCAGCCTCACCTGATGGTGTGGAGATGGTGAGCGAGCAGCTTCTAGAGGGTGTAGGAGATGCCCCAAGGCTGTGGTTTGGGGAAACAGCTGTGGAAGCAAACATCAACTGGCTGGCATTCATGAAGCACTAGGACTTCTGCCGCCAAACAGAGCATCCTCTCAGGGAGAGTCCAACCCTGGGAACCCAGACTGCCTTGTCAGGTCAGGGGCTGCTTCCAGAGAGCCATAAAAGATTCCTATTACAACCCAACTTTTGCTACAGCCAGCCCAGCAGAGGGGCCCTCAGGTAATTTCCAGTATATGGAGTCACATTCCTTAGCTTACTGGGCCTGACCTCAGAGAACTTTCCAGAAACTGAGGACCAGGCATTGCTCGACAGAAAGAAAAAGCATGCCATAGGACCTCTCTGATTTCAAACACTCTCCTTGTTCTCCAAAATCTGCTTCATCTTTGCACTCAGGAAGAAGCAGGACCACAGCACAGGGAGAGAGAGGAGCCCTGTCTCTCCTCCAGACTACCTAGGTCTTTGGAGATCAGGGTAAAGGACCCCAGCATGGCCTCCTCAGACCTCTGCTGAGGAGATGCCCACCGCAGAGCTGGATCTTCATAGGGAGTATGGGAATGTTAAGCGACTGTCGTGCAGGGCCATGAAGGGTCTATGCATATGGGACTTGGACAGGGTTTCTCTGCATTAGAGTTAAGGACCTAGAAGTTCATGAAGGACAGATGCAGAGACCAAGGTAAGAACACGGGTACCATGTGGAATGGCATTTGTCCACAATGGGGAAGTCCCAGCTAGTCACACATAGGGCCCAAAAGCAAAACACAGGAGAGTTCTCTGGGGGTGGAGTTAGGTGTTTTAGAACTCTGGAAGCTGAGCACAGTAACTTCTGAAGGGGTCAACTCTGCAGGCTTAGACCTTCTAGAACCTGGCAGCCAAGGGGACGGGCCACTCTCAGAAACAGGGTTCCCCTGCAGCTGGAGCCTGGCCCTCCCTTCCCTCCCCTCAGCCCAGCCTCAGAGAGGCTCAGGGCAGCTACCTGCCCTGCTGCTGGTCCTGCCCTACCTGATGGGGAGTCTCCAGGGCTGCTCCTTGATTTCCTCCCGCGGCGGGTCAGGAATCGCTCACTCACCGACTTGGCTTCTTCCAGAAGCGCCAGGTTTTTCTTCTTGTCCTCTTCTGAGATGCTGATGTCTGGCAGCTGGTCATTTACTAGGTCAATGACATGCCCCGTGGGGTCTGCAGAGAGAGAATGAACTCAGCAGTGAGAGCCACCTCAGAACTCAGCCATTTGCAGATGTCAGGATGGGGGACATGGGGATAAACAGTGGTTTCCTCAGTAGGCTCTCTGGCTTATAGCCTGTCAGAAAGCTTCATGAAGCCCTCTTTGGGTTCCCAGAACTACCCTATCTCTGCTTTAAAGGAAGGCTATCCAGGAGCCCTGACTCATGCTGTTTCTCCTGGGGTTTTCATCCTTCCGGTCTGTTTCTCTACAAGTTAGTTAGCCAATGTGTAGCTAGGGATGCAGCTCAGAGATGTCTCAAGCCCCAGCTGCAATCCCGTGGTCACCTCTCCCTTTCTTTCTCCTGCTCATTCTTCCCCCAAACTGCCCCATCTCCAGGAGTGCCCTAGGTGAGCTGATTGGATGACACTATGTCCTTGCCAGATACTCAGGAAATAAAAGTCGCTCCAGACAGCTCCTTCTTTCCCAGGTTCCATGTCTAAGACCTGACTCAGGCATAGCGTTTACTGCTAAGTGTCTCTGGGACCTGTCTCCATTTCTATTCCTGCTCAGAAGCTCTTACTTGAACAATTATGTAAGCCCCATGAAAAGTCCCTGCCTTCAAGCCGGCCTCTCTGTCCCATGGTCTATTGTCTACAGAGCGAACTTTCTAAGAGCCACATCTGATCATGCCGTTCTCCTGCCACATCCGGTGAAAACTACTCAGAGTTCTTGGGGTTCATCTAAACTGGTCGCCAATTTTGCTGGCCTTACATCCTCCTTCCAAGACCTTGTCTCAACTCTAGCCCTTCTGTAGCTCCCTCTGCCTCCATCCATGCCTCTTCCTGAAGTAGCTCTTCATTTTCACTGGAAGCCCTCTGAATCACTTAGGAGGAGCTATCCATCCCCACTCACAACTCTGCTTCAAGAACCGAGGCTTAGTGGAAGTGGATCTCCCAACAAGCTTTGGTCCATCCAGCAATGCCATCTAAGCAGCCACAGGGACCAGACACTAATGACCATGTAAGGCTAGTGAGACACAGTCTTGGGAACCAAGAGGGAAGAAGGGCTTCACAGATGAGACAGAAGCATGGAGGTGCAGCCAACCATTTGTTTCCATGAATGAAACATCTTCCCAAGAGGAAAGCTCACACATGAAAGGAGATGAGAGATGGAATGGTACAATAACTAATAAATTCAGGCACTTAATTTATTAGGCAGTATCTGAGACATGACACTCTAAAAGAGGAAGACAGTGATGGAGGAAGATGACAAGGAGAAGGGGTTGAGGAAGAGGAGGGAAGGGGGAGAATTTTATTACTTTGGAGTGAGCTAATATGAGTTGGGGCTCCACAGTTTTCAGTGGTCATGACACATACACACGGCACAACATTCGGTTACTACAGTACTCTGGTGGGTCCTGCTTCCCGCTACGTCTCTTCTTCCACCTAGAATACCATCCCTCCCTCCTGTGTGTCCATCTAGTTAAGGGGAACTCAAATACCACTTCCCCTGGAATGTCTGCACGTCTTTCCTCTTCCCTGGGGAGAAGTGGAGCCCTTCTTACCTTGGACTCCTTCCTTCTCTCATGAAGGGCCTTTATCAACTCTGTCTGCTCACTTCCCAGCCTCCTTATAAAGTGTAATCAACACTGGATAGAAAGACCAAGTCTATGTGACCTCTATCCTTCAGTGGCCCCACAGAGGTGTGAAAAACCACTAGTAGGGGCCAGCAGGGGGACAGAGCTGCCAGCCTTTCACATGAGCACACTCACACCTGGATGTGCGCCTGCCCAGCACGGCTGCAGGGCTCTGCCTAACGAGCCCATGCTGAGCATTGCCCAGCTGATCACTGAGCATCACTGTCTCCTCTGACACTGAAACTAGACATCATTTCTTCGGGACCCAAACATGGAAGGGATGCTCTCTTTCACCCTTTGGACTTGCATGGAGGGAAAGGGCCTGAGTCCAGCTAAGCTCAGCCCTAAGCAGCAATGCTAGCTACCCAAGCACATCCTTACATTGAGGCAGCCCTTACCCACAGAAGTCAGCGAAGCAGTGGAGACTTTCAGGTGTCGGTGAGAAAGCCTCCGGTGGGGGCTGGGAGCTCTGAAAGACAGAACATGGTCATCTATTATGAAATCTTCTCAGAGGTGGACAAATGAGATACTTCACAGCCTCTCGGTGTCACCCTGGGGCATCACCTATGGGCACACGCGGGGTCCTCCGGCTGTCACCTCGGGAGCATGTTAGATGGATGAATTTCCAGGCTGTACCCCACATCAAAGCTCCCGGGAGCACCCTTGATTCAGCAAGCCTCTGTGCCACTCTGTTGCTCACTCAAACTCTCCAAGCCCACTCTCAGGGGATGAGAAGCCTTACTGCAGCATTTCCTCTGGAGGAGGACCCAGACTTTATGCTAGAGCTATTGTGTGGGAACCTTATAAAACCTACATGGGGTTCTCAAGAGACGTGGATAATTTATTTTTGAGAGAAAAGACAAAAACACAGTTTCACTGCCCTGCAAATTACAAAGCTCTTTTTAAAGATTTATGTTTTACTTATGCATGTATGTGCCTGTGTGTAAGTATGCGCATGTGTGTGAGGATGCATGTGGAGGCCACAGGCATCAGATTCCTAGAACTGGAGTTGCAGGTGGCTGTGAGCTACTTGATTTGCACAGTGAGAACCAAATTCAAGTCCTGTGCAAGAACTGTGTGCTCATGATTGCTGAGCCAACTCTCCAGCCCATGAAGCTGTCTTCACAATTTTACTTGGCTTTCTACAGCCCCTCCCACATTGACTATACACATATATTCATTTCCTCTGTCCTTCACGGCATCCACCTGCTCTTGTGCCTCTAGTTAATGGATGAAGAAGCCTTTGGCATGCGTACTTTCTCTGTTTTATAAGAATTGCCTGCTTACGTGTGGTGCTGTCTGTCAAACTCAGGCAAGCACCTGTCCCCAGCCTTAAAAATCAACTTTAAATTTTATTAGAAGTGATACCCAGACAGCATTATTCCAGCCAGATCAATGCAGGGATCCGTGGTAAGGGAAACAGAAGCAGTGATATCCCTGTGGTGGAGACTGAGTATCTCTCCCAAAGGGTTATCTCCCATGAAGGACCTACTTGACAAAGGCACATTCTGTAGTCACAGACCCACACCTTCCAGGCTTTTATGGGAATACCTGGGCTGATATTATGGGGATTTTCCCTGCTGTGCTGTCTTGTGCTTTTCTTAAAATCTAGCAGCCTGTACAGGGCCAAATCCAAGAGTGAGAACAATATTTTGGGAAAGAAGATAATTAGGGAAAAATATCCTAGGTTCTCTTTACCATTCTGAAAAACTACTCGATAATAATAATTTTTTTTTATTTTTGAGATAAGGTCACTTGTACCCCAGGCTGGATTTGAACTCTTCACATAGCCAAGGGTGACCTTACACCTCTGATCCTCCTGCTTTGGCCTGAGTGCTGGGGCTAGAGGTGTGCTCCATCCAGCATATGTGACACTGGAAATCAAGCCCAAGGCCTCAGATGACCTTGGCAAGAAGACCTCTGTCAGCTGAGCTATAGCTCCGCCCTCCTTGGTAATATCTTCATCGATAAAGTGATTCAAAGAGGAAGAAGGAAGAAAGCATTTCTAGAAACGCAGCTATCCAGTCCCTACCAAAGCATTGCTCATCAGCCTGGGCTGCGTACCTGTCGACGAAGTTTTTGTCGGTTTCTCCTTCAGGTGAGCTGGCATCCCCCGTCAGGATGATTGTGGGAGGGCTGTGGAATGGTCCTGTAGAGGGAGAGTCCTGGTGGTTTAGAGCAAAACACAGATGGCGTTAGGTCTGGGCTTGGTGGGGACATGCAGGGCCTGGGACTGCAGCATTCTCCACAGCATGACTCCCAAGGCCATCGCCACTGGTCACCAACTCTGCCTGCTGATTTGTCTGTTTCAGCTTCATTAAGATATAATTGGGAATTAGAACTAGCTTATATTCCAGGTGTGATTTTTTTTGATGTGGGTGTACATTGTTATGTGGCTACGGATGAGCTAATGAACATATTGACTGTCTCAGTTCTCTCTCTTTCTCCCTCTCTTCCTTCTCCATCCCTGTCTCCCTTTTCTTTCCTTTCTCTCTCTCCCTGTCATGTGGCGGGGGGGGGGTGGGGTGCTGCCATGTGGGTGCTGGGAATCAAATCCAGTGCCCCTCAGTTCCTGCTTTTCTTGAAACTGAGTAACAAGCAATCTCAGGTCCATATTTCTACATTGGAACTGTGGTCCAAAACTTCTATGATCTGTTTCCATCATTCAGCCCTGTGGACCCAAACACTTCTCTGCTGGCCTCTCTGGTGGCTCAGCCTGGCCTGCCTTTCTGGAGCACAGGATGTTTAGGTTTGGAATTTCCCTGATTCTCATGTTCTTGTTCACAGGTAACTCTTGCCACAAGCAGGCCAATCAGCACTCCTATAATGTGCACAAGCTTTTGTCTCAACTGAGGATCTGAGCTCTGGAAATTAGCCTTTTGTGTCTGCCTTACTTAAAGCCCTTCTATAAGAATCCTCTGGTGAACAAAACAACACATGTTGGCTAAATTTCATTTTCTATCCATGTATCACATGTTTTCCTTCTGCCATCCCCACAGGGGAGCTTTCACAAATCCACAGCATTCAATAGTGCTAAAAAAAAAAAAAAAGAGAGAGATTTTTTATCTTGACGCATTGATACTCTGACCACTTTCCAAAGCAACCAGAAATAATCAACAAGAAAACATCAGCTAGAGAAAACTGAGAGCATAAAAATGCAGAGCAATTTGGTGGATATACCTTCCCGTAAGAGGTAAAAATAAGCGCTTCCTCCTTCTAGTGGCCTACAGTTGGCACTAAGGTAAATTGTTTGTCCTGGTGTCCTGTGGAGCTGTGGTCCCTCTAGACCAGGCTCTGGGAAGTACAGGCTTAAGGGGCTGTTCCAAAAACTGCATTCTAAAGTTTCATCTCTTCCAGGATATAAAGAGAGAATGAATCCTGGGGCTGGGCAGAGGCAAAACACCCATATGCATTAAATTAAACTTAAGAGGCAGAGAGAGAAATGAATTAACTTCTGTCCTCACTTCTCCTCCCTCTTTTCTGTCCTTTACGTTCCTCACATCGCACACTCGCAACACCCACTTGTTCACCCTTCCTGCCCAAATCCTCTTTGGCCATCTCTTTATCTCTTCATCACTCTCCATTTAGCCATTCATCCATATACCCATTTGCGCATGCGGGTATTCATCTCTTTCTGCCTCCCCATCCAGCAAGTAATCCATCCACCAGTCTCTCTCCCAGTCTATCTGTCCATTCATCTATTTTTCTATTTCCCCTACTCACCTATACATCTATCATCTATGTATACATTCTTCTCTTCACCTCTTTCTCCTGTCTCCATCCACTAGCCCACACACCCCTCCCCAGGCTATCACCAGTGTAGCCGTTTATTTCTCTCTCCTCCATCTATTACCTACAGCCCCACAGCTCCACTTACACATAACCTGTAGGCTGTCTTAAGGCATGTTTTTATGTCTGACTCACACCAGTTTACAAACAAGGGTTGTGGGGGAAAGGCCTTTTCTGAGAAGAGGGGGCTGCTAGGCCGGGAGTGCAAGCTTCTCTTTGTGTCCGTGAAGTCTGCAAACACTTACACACCGCTACGCACTACTCTATCTGTTTATCCAGCAAACACTTCTGGAATGCCCACTGTGAGGCTGTGCCTTGGCTGGGGAGACAAAGAGGAGGTAGGCAGGCCTGAGATGCTTTCTGCTAGTAGCTGGATTGTAAGCGAAGAGGTGAAAGACCCATTCCCTACAATCGGTAATGACCCAAGCTGCCACCTCTGAGGTCAGTGGATTTTTGAGGCACTGGAGGGAGCTGCTTCCTGGCAGGTGTTTTCTTTCCATTCTGGCCCCAAAGGCAGTGTGCTTGCACATGCAAATAAAGCCTTAAAAGATGAAACAAATCTATATAGAAATAGAATTTCCAAATAAAACACAAGAGTCACAGTTATATTTGAATTTCAAATGAATAGCAGACAGATTTTGGGATATGTTGCAAGTACTTAACTAATTTTATTCACCAAATCTCTTAGTCTCAGATGGAAAAGCCGTGGAACCGGCCCTGGTACATTTTACCTTCACAGCTGAGTTTATCACTTTGGAGTTTGATTTCCAGGAAACTGATGTTCTTGGTATTGGGTCTGGCTGACAGTTTAGAGCTAAATTAGGTGTTAATGAATTGAAGGGCATCAGATTGGCCCTCTGATAACCGAGCCAGCTAGCACACCACACCACCACCATCCAAGACAGTTGGCCACACAAGCCCTGTCAGTCACCTTCACTGGCTTCACTCCCTTCTCCCCAACTTCTTCTCAAACAGTAGATTCCCCCTGTGGGTCACAGACATAGTGGAAAAGGCCTCATGACCTCAGACCTCAAGCACCTTGGGCTTGTTCCATTAATTCTGCAAGATACCCATCAACACCCTTCGGGTAACAAATCCCACTACCCTCCTATAATCATGAAAGGAAAACAAAAAGATGGAAAACCAGTCCGTGAGGGTGCAATTGGCCAATGGAAATTTTCCTTTGCCCCAGGGCTACCCCAGACACAGGCAGCATCCTTCCTGCTGTGCCATCCTGCTTCTCCATGTGCCACTTGTCTTTGCTGACACCTCCTTGTTTCTGGTATCCTTCAGACAATCTTCTCTTAGCCCTCCATGCTGCACACATCCTCATCTTCCTCCAAGAAGCCTTGGATCGAGATGAGACAGAATACACAGCAGAAGGGAAGCAGGCCAGGCTGCCACTGCTTTAGGGTTATTATCCCTCTTCCTTGTCTGTGGGCCCAGCCTCCCCAGGGGTCCATCTCTCTTCTCCAGGGGTCAGCCAAGCTCTGTGGGGCTGTGCCATCTCCAGCAAGCTCACTCCAATCATAAGCAGCAGATCACATTTCATTTCCCTCTAATAAATCTTATAGAAACATTTAAATGTTTATTTCGCTCATAAATTCCCAAGAGTGTATGATAGTTTCCTATGCTCCTGAGCACAGGGTTAAATATAGACCAATGTCCTAAATGGGAATATGAGCCTCAAATCCTCAATATCACATGACTAGGTCTGGGCTAGGACTCTTTAGGAACAGCTCCAGGTCTAGCCCAGGCAACTGTGGGGAGTATGGTTGCAGTAATGGCCTTGGGTGACAGTGGGACAAGGACCCTGCTGGATCATTGTAAGCAGGAGAGAAGCTAGATGGACCTACAATGAAATCTCAGCTGGATGACCTCCAGGAAGACATTGCATTTCTCTCATCTTCATGTTTATAAACATCAAAGGAGCTAATACCCCCCTAGACTGCTTTAAAAATAAACACCAATAAAGCAATATGAATGATGACAGGGGAGGGGTTAAGAAGTGGGTACACATTGTTTGACCAAATCCGTAGTCGATCTGTTACAGCCTGGAAGGCAGGCAAGGACTCCCTAGGGAGGGCAGTTTGTGCTCTTAAGACAAAATAAAAAGATTCTCAGGGGACTTGCAAGAAAATGATGATTCCAGTGTCAAGTCATAAGGCCATGAGAGAGAGGGAAAGAGCTTCTGTGGGGTATGTGTTTTCTCTGTGTAAAGCAGGAGGAACATTCTTTGCCCCACAATCCTGAAGGCTTGCTGCCTAGTGTACGTTCTCATGTGCCCAGGTCACACTCTGGCTCTGTCAGTTTCTGTCCGCATCCACTCAGTTCTCAGAAGTCAGAGATCCATAGTCATTAGATTTTCCTGCTTTCTTTAGCCTTGATCTTACTTTCAGGCCAACACATTTCAGAAGTGTGGAGTGGTATACAGCAGATGCTGTGCTTCGTAAAATGTCACTCAGACAGACAAACGGGCGAGCAGATAGACAGCCTTTTATCCACCACCACCTTCTGTCCTCCCTTCCCAATGCTATTCCTTCTTTCATATCTTCCTCCCCTAAATATAACCACCCAATTACCCAATCTGTCACATGATCATCCATCCATCATTTACCCATCCACCCATCCACCCATCCATCCATCCATCCATACATCCAACCACCCACCACCCATCCATCCACACATCCACCCATGCATCCCTCCATCCAGTCATCCAGCCAGAATAACCTTTTTTCCTTCCTTCCTTCCTTCCTTCCTTCCTTCCTTCCTTCCTTCCTTCCTTCCTTCCTT